TCTGAATCTGTTCTTCCAAGAGTCCTCTCCTGCAAACACTCATATCAAATTTGGGATCAAATCCACAAACATTTCAATGCAGTGATGAAAGCTAGGGTTCACCAGCTGCGTTCTGAATTGAAAACCACCAAGAAAGGGAATAGGTCAATCTCTGAGTATGTGCTGAGAATTAGGGCGATCGCTGATGCACTGCTAGCTATTGGTGATCCCATCTCAGAGAGAGATCAAATTGATTCCAGCTTACAGGGGCTTCCTGAGGAGTACAATCCATTTGTCATGATGACTTATGGAAAAGGTGAGCTATCCTCCATTTATGATGTGGAAGCTCTCCTCTATATCCAAGAGGCACAACTTGACAAGTATCGTCAAGAACTCGCACTTACCACGGTCACTGAAAATCTCGCCTATACTGAAGATCAGACAAGTTCCAAGACCACTAGAGGTGGCTTTCAGTAGTCAAGGGGGCGTGGCTCTGGCTCCAGAGGTCGTGGTCGCACCAAGGCACGCAATGCTCACACTCAAGGAAATCGCCCTACATGCCAACTCTGTAGAAAATATGGCCATGTTATCATCAATTGCTGGCACAGGTATGATGAAAACTTTGAACCTATGGCGCCTAAAGCTAATCAGCAGCCTACTCAGTCAAAAGATCAACAAAAGAATGAAGCCTCAAGTTCTGCACAAGCCTCTGCATTCCTAGCACATCAAGAAGATTTCAGCTTTCCAACAAATCTTGAATCACAGGTTTGGTTCGCGGATTCAGGTGCATCCCATCATATCACCTCTAGAAACTATCATAGTAAACACACTAAACCTTATTCTGGATATAATGAAGTCATTATAGGGAATGGTAAAGGTCTGAAAATTGAATCTGTAGGAATAGCTCATATTAAGCCTAACAATACTTCCAGTTATTTGCTGAGTCTGAATGATATGCTTCATGTTCCTAGCATAACTAGAAATCTGCTATCTGTTTCCAAATTTGCCAAATACAACAAGGTCTTCTTTGAGTTTCACTCTAACAGCTGTTTTGTCAAATCTCAGGCATCTAAGGAAGTTCTCTTAGAAGGCTACCTTGATGTTGGAGGATTATACTACTTTCCCAATCTCACCTTGAAGACTTCTGTGTCACCAACAGCAAATGCAGCTTGTATCTCATCTGATAAGGTTTCAAATACTTTAGATTTAATTTCCAATAAGTTTTCTCTATGGAATCATAGGCTAGGCCATGCTAACTCTGTAGCTGTTAAAACTGTTCTCAACATATGTAATATCCAGTTGAGTAATAAAGATAATGTTGAATTCTGTAATTCATGTTGTATAGGCAAGTCTCATAGAATATTTTCTCCTCTAACTTCTACTGTATATACTGTTCCTTTTGAATTAATTCACACTGATTTGTGGGGACCATCACCAAACCCCTCTAGCCAAGGCTTTTCTTACTACATAGCATTTGTAGATGTGTACACTAAATATACCTGGGTCTATTTTCTCAAACATAAGTCAGATGCCCTCAACACTTTCAAACACTTTCTTTCCTTTTTCAAAACACAATTTCGTACCACTATTAAGGCTCTACAATCTTACTTTGGTGGTGAGTACAGGCCCTTTACTAAACTTCTGAATGATCTTGGCATTGTTCATTGACTAACTTGCCCACATACTTCACATCAGAATGGTACAGTTGAAAGGAAACATAGAAACATAGTAGAAATGGGACTAACTTTACTTGCTCATGCTAATCTTCCTATAGAATATTGGGATCATGCCTTTACAGCAGCTGTCTATCTGATCAATAGACTCCCCACTCCTACACTTCCCAAAACTGTCTCCCCCTTTCAGACTCTGTTTAATAAAATCCCTGACTACAGCACCCTTAGAGTATTTGGTTGCTCCTGTTTTCCTCATTTAAGACCCTACAATCAAAATAAACTCCAGTTAAGAAGCTCTGAATGTGTATATCTAGGAATTTCTCCATATAATAAGGGATACAAATGCCTTAGCAAAGAAGGCAGGATTTATATTTCCAAGGATGTCATTTTCAATGAAAAAGTCTTTCCTTTTCCAACATTCAATGACCAACTTCAGTCTGTCAAAACAGGACCCACCAAGTATATCCCTTTACTTGTACAAAGCAGTCCTTTTTCTTCTCCCTATGATACTCCTATACCCAATGGTAGCAGGACCACTCAGCCTGTCCTACCCTTGAATAACACACCCCAGCACTCTCTTCAAAACCAGTCTATAACCATTGAACATAATCATACATCCTCTCATAACCAAATTTCCTCCTTCACTGAGCAAGAACCCCTGGATAGAAACATTGATCCATCTCAGAGTACCCCTGTTTGTTCTCAACATACACAAGGTACAACAAATGTCCAACCTCATCACACTGCTCTAACTAATCAAAATATTGTACATCAGGAATCTGGTCCATCTCTGGCTACTGTTAATCCTGATACTCACTCTTCTCCTGCCTTAGTTACTAACAATCACTCTATGGTTACTAGGAGCAAAACAGGGAACCTTAAACCTAAAGTATTCCTTGCACAATGTGAACCAGTCACCTACAAACAAGCCTTAACTCAACCAGAATGGTTTGAGGCTATGAAACAGGAGTTTGATGCTCTCCTAGCCAAAAACACTTGGACACTAACTCATTTACCTTCATACAGAAAACCAATAGGTTGTAGGTGGGTGTTTAAATTGAAGGAAAATTTTGATGGAACCATTAACAAACACAAAGCCAAGTTGGTTGCCAAAGGTTTTAACCAGCTGTATGGTCTTGATTTTCATGAAACCTTCAGTCCTGTTGTCAAGCCAACAACTATAAAAGTTATTCTAACCCTAGCTATCACTCATAAGTGGGAAATACAACAGATAGATATCAACAATGCCTTCTTAAATGGTGCTCTGCAGGAAGAAATATATATGCAACAGCCACCTGGGTTTGAGAATGAGAACAAAAATCTGGTATGCAAGTTGAATAGATCCTTATATGGACTCAAGCAGGCACCCAGATCCTGGTATGAGAAACTACACCAGACCTTGTTTCATTTTGGTTTTGTGGCTAGCAAGTGTGATCACTCTTTGTTCATTTACAAGAATCAAGAAATTATTATGTATGCCTTAGTCTATGTGGATGACATCTTAGTTACAGGCTCATCTTCTCATCTTTTTCACAAGTTGATAAATCAACTACGTCATAAGTTTGCTCTGAAGAAACTTGGCAAGCCTGAATACTTCTTAGGTTTGGAAGTTCATTATCAAACCAATAGATCCCTAGTACTGACTCAAATAAAATACATCAGAGATCTCCTCTCTAGGGTCAATATGCACACAACTAATGGAGTAGGAGCACCAATGCTTAGCCACTGCAAACCCAACAAATATGGCACTGACTTCATGGAAGAACCATTACTATACAGATCTGTTGTAGGAGCCTTGCAGTACATTACCTTAACTAGACCTGACATAGCATATTCTGTAAACAAAGTCTGCCAGTTCATGGCTTCTCCTTTACACAGCCACTGGAGTTTGGTTAAGAGGATACTCAGGTACTTAAGTGGCACTGTCAGAATGGGATTAATCTTTTCTCCTGCTACTCCTAATCAGCCTCTATCTCTAAGAGCCTACAGTGACTCTGATTGGGCAAATGATCCAGATGATAGAAGGTCAACTTCTGGCACTTGCATCTTCATTGGACCAAATCTCATATCATGGAGCTCAAAGAAACAGTCCCTTGTTGCAAAATCCAGTGCTGAAGCAGAATACAGGGCTTTGGCTCACACCACATCAGAAGTTCTATGGCTGGAATCTCTACTGACAGAACTATAGATTCAGTATTTCTCCCTAACTTTGTTGTGTGATAACCTGAGTGCTGTTCTACTTTCACATAATCCTGTCCTTCATGCTAGAACAAAGCATATTGAATTGGATCTTCACTTTGTAAGAGAAAAAGTTATGGCCAACAAGCTCAAGATCCAACATGTTCCAGCTACTGCTCAGTTAGCAAATATTTTGACCAAGCCTCTTCCCACTATTGTCTTTCAACAACTCAGGGACAAGCTCAAAGTTGTGTTGCTGCCACCACCTTGATCTTGAGGGGGAGTATTAGTGATATACATTAGCTTATGCATCTGTCCAGCTGTATATTTTTTATTGACTTACTGTTAGGCTTTTGCTATTGGTTGAGTTTGTTGTAGAGGTAGTTAAATATTGGCCCACTTGTAATACTGATATATAAATCTTATCCTCTACTGTAACAATAGAAAGAAATTCTGGATTTTATAGAAACTGCACAGAGTGCAGATTATTGAATGCAGAACATTCTTCATCTTCTACACATAGGTAGTATTTTGTGTGTTGATAGACATTTATATTGATTCAACATGAACATTCAAGCATACATCTATTTTTGTTTGAATATTCATGTCTGTCTTGAATTCTGTCAAAAACAAAATCTTCTTTTATTGAATTAGGATCTCCCGTCCTCTTTAACTTTTTTTTTACAAATAAACAATAATATATTCAAATAATTTATTTTCAATTTTATAGTAATAAATTAGCAGACCATATTTCATATTTGTTTTATAGGAGGCATTTCCTTTTTGTTCAATAGTCTAAAATGAACACAAGTAATATCATAATTTATTAATCAACACGAAAAGTTAAAGTCAAGATCTTATATTCTATGATTGTAATTAGATATTTTCATATAAAAGAAAGTTCAACAATTGATTTGAGGTTAAATTCACTTTAGTATAAAATTATCAAATTATATCTCTAATTTAAAGTTAAAATAATTAAATAATCAGAAAGTCAATGTCAAGTTTAATAATTAAAAAAAAGTTTATAAAAATACATTGGTTTTTTAGCTATTGGCAATTTTCTCAACAATTTTCATCAAATACATAAGACTTCCATTTAGCATTTTGAAACAGATAAGCAAAATGAGTTGGTTATTAATATTATGTGTCTTAGCCATAATACTCATTATGGTTAATCAGTTTGTAGAAGCGCAAGATTCACCAGCAGACTATCTAAAAGGACACAATGCGGCAAGATCTGCAATTACCAAAGTTAAAATTCCTGATCTTGTTTGGGACAACAAAGTTGCTGCCTTTGCAAATAACTATGCTAACCAACGCAAGGATTGTCAATTGGTCCACTCAGGTAGTGACCGATACGGAGAAAATATCGCAATGGGCGGGGGTGAGATGTTTGGCACAGATGCTGTGACGATGTGGGTTGGTGAGAAGCCCTACTATGATTATAACAGTAATTCATGTGCTGATGGTCAAATGTGTGGCCATTATACACAAGTTGTTTGGAAAAACACAGTAAGAATTGGATGTGCTAAAGTGAAATGTGATAATGGAGGAACTTTTATTACTTGCAATTATGATCCTCCTGGCAACTATATTGGTGAGAGGCCATATTGAGTGATTTGTTCCAACCTAGATGTAAGACCTCTCTATCATAGAAAATACATGAATAAAGAAAATGTAGTATTATACGAAGTTTATAATTTGTAATGAGGATGTTTTAGACATAGTGTGTCCATCTGAAATCTATTCGAAAATAACATTCCGTTTGAAATCCATGCCCAAAAAAAAAAAAAATTCATTTATAATATATATGACCTTCACATACTTTATAAAAAGTGAATTGCTATATATAAAAGAAATGAGGAGGTTTGTCAAAAAAAAAAACGAGGTAGTAGTATACATATACTATTTCCGAACTATTATATTTATAATGGTCAAATCAAAAAAAAAAATTATATGAATTTTTTAATTTTTGTATACAAATTCTTAAAAATTAATGTTTTTGAAACGTTTATAAATATAATTTATCATAGGTTTAGTTACTTTCGTATTTTTGGGTAAAAACCTTTAAAATTATTTTTTTTTTGACAACTTTATTGTACACAGTCGCTACTATAGGAATGGATTTTAACTCGTCGAAATTGAGATTTTATCTCGATTGAATGAGCGAAATAAATAGGTATAAAGTAAAAGTGTGTTACTTTTTTTTTAGTCTATTTGATTGACGTAAAAAAAATAACAACACACTATTTTTCCTCGATCCATTTGGCCGAGGAGGAAAAAATAACAGCAAGCTACCTTTTGACTCAATTAAATATGGTAACCGAATGAAATTACAGTTATTTTACTCTCTAATGTTTTTAATAACCGAGGTGAATAGGTAAATTATCCGTGCAACACATGGATTTGACTAAAATATATAGTTCAATTCTCAACTACTATCATGCACTCACTCATTATATTAATACAAAATTTTAATTAATAAATTAAATTGGTTACATTTTTTACCAATTATTATTTTCTTTATATTGTTTCAACACACGAATGTTGAACTATCACTTTTTGAAATTCCTTAACTTGCAAAGTTTTAATTAAAATAAATTGATTTAGTTGTACTTTTTATTAATTTTTATTTTCTATCATCACTTTATTAGTATTATATGAAATTTAATTTGAATTTTTTTTTATTTTCATCCTAATCAATAATAAATATTTTATTATAAAATTATTTTTGTTTAGATTTATTTTATATATTTATATTTATTTTTTCATATAACTAATTTAATGAAAGATAGAGGATGTTATTTTATGCACATTATTGCATGAAATTAAGATTACTCAACAAAAAGTTAATGTTTTTTCTTTTATATTTTTTTTTGTTCATTAAGACTAATAAGATATAACTGTAATTTGTTACAAAATTTATTTGTTAAGTAAAAATAATAAATTTCAATCTATATAAAAATAAGAAAACATTACAGTAACTTAGTAATCAAAAATAAATTTAATATTATTTTTAGGAATTACATAAATTTATTTTAAATAATTACAAAATATATAAATTATAGAAGTATCTATACTATAATAACAAAAAAAAATATTATTAAGATAAATAAGTAAAAATATATACAAAATTAAACTATAAATTTCAACATCTAAACTTATATAATAACAAAAATAGTTAAATATTAAAATGAATAATGAATCATTATAATATGGTTAATAGTCTCGATCCTAACATAAAAAGCTCATAGAACACGAGGTAAAGAAAAGCTCTAATGACACCAAAATACACTATATATTTAATTCGATTCACACATGTTTTCTTGTTGTTTTGTCTCCTTTTTTAGTATTATATGAGTATTTTGTCTATGTTTCAAAAAATTGACAAAATGGAAGTCATACGCGAAGAAACGAAGTAAATCAGATGAAAAACAGAGAAGATATGAGCATATTACACTCAAGACACCCACCATGACATTCACCATGAGTGGTCCACGCGCTAACGGTCACAAAGACCAAGTCATAGCCACCTTGTGCACATGGCGTTCTTCATGGAGGGTGTAGCGGTCGTCACACCTTGTAGAAGCGTGGATGTTGCATTTTTGGCTTGATTTGGTCTCCCGTGCAGCCCATTCATCCATATATTTTCTCCCACGATTTTGGTAACTTTCCAAATGATTTCTTGATCTTGGAACATTATAAATAGGCCTTTAGCTTCACTTTTGAAGGTATCCAAGCTTAGTTACAAACTTAAATCATATAATGTCGACTTTATAAGCGATTAACTTTTCACATCAGAGAGTCATTGCACCGTTGATTGAGTCTGTAATCGAGTTTAGAGCAACTTTTATCAAAGCATTAATCTTGCTGCCATTTTACTTTCCGCATTCAAGTTTCAGCACATTACTTCCTGTACCAGATCAAAGTCTCTTCGGAGCAGGTTTTCGTTTAATCGCATTACTTTTATTTTATCGTCTCTTTATTTAATCGCACACTCTTCTTATACCTTTCTTTTAATTGCATGTTTAAATCTTATTTTACTATGTCTATTTCATTTTATCACATGATCAAATCAATCATTTTAGTTTATGTTATAATGATGTCTAGCTAAATTTAAAAGTGTTGGAATGTGAGGACCGTCGGTTCGACGGTACTCTGAATCGTTGTTCTTTGAGAAATATTATTAGGGATGTTTTGATTTTAATCACAACTTTTCGAAACTTAACTTTGTAAGTTACTACGAAACTAGAACCATTTATATGTCGGATAAGATCGAAAATCGTTTGGTACAAAAGATTAAAGTTGTTTAGTAATTAATTCATAAAAACCACGAAAGCACTTTATCAATTAAGTAAGAAGTTTAATATTTCTAGAAAGTGATTTTAAAACTATTTGAAAACGCGCGTGTTTATATGTTTAGGATCCGATTACCTGAGCAAAAGCATGAAACCCTTTTATTTTAAACTTTCCAATCAAAATCACTATTCAACTGAGTAAAAGAGTCTAATTCCTTAAAATAGGTTTTTACTACTTTAACGTGAATAGTGCCTACCACCGTGACAGTGGACAGTATAATTTAGAGAGTAAAATCCGGTTTTGAATATGTTAGACGGTGTGGCAAGTGATCGAGAGGGGGGTGAATAGATCACCTCCTAATTTTTCAAAAATTTAAAATCTTTTATCAAATTTTGTTGAAAGTAGCGGAAAATTAATGTCCTGAATCAACTTCCGTCTATTTTGAACCGACTACTAGAAAACCAGACATGTGAAAAACTTGTTAGATTTTATTATATGAAATGGATGAATATACAACACGGATTATTTAATATTTTTAATGCACTTATCACTAAAGCAGTGTTTCCAATGAAATAAAACTTGTTAGGAGTTTTGTCAAACACTTGGCATATGCTTGTTTGATGGTTTAATAATGGTAATTTGATCAAAGTATTTGAACCACTATTTTATCATTGAACAGAAAACTCAGCAAGCCAATTGAATCACAATATTATGGAAAATGTAAAGAGATAGAGAGAAAGAAAGAACAATACGCAGGCAGTTTGGTAAGGAAGTTCCCCACTGTCGTTCTCGCGTGTGGGTATGTCTCCCTCTCAATTTTAGAATTAAAACTGAGAACTCTTATAAAAATTTGTTGAATGTTTGAATACAAGGTTACACTAACAGACAAAAAGAAATCCCTATGATCTTCTTCTTCTTGTAAGAACCTCCACTTGATATGAGTTGTATCAAGATTCCCTGCAAGATCCACATTGATCCTCCGCTTCCACGACCTGTTTGCAAAAATCCCTCTGATTTCCAAACCCCTCGCTATGACTGAATCCGACTTTTACGACCGTGACTAATAAACCCTTAAGAACATGCCCGTTCTTGAAGGAAAATCCCCTTGGTTTTTCCTTGAAGCCCCCTTCACAATCTTCAACCCAGCTGAGATCCCTTGAATGCACAGTTGAACATTTTCTCTTGATCTTTTGATCCAATTGAACAAAGATGTTTGATTTTCGTTGTTGTTGTTGTTGAATGAAGATGATGAAGATGAAGTATCTTTCAGGCTTCTTGCTGCTCACAATTGATGCTCACAATTCTAATATGTGACATGTGCTTTTGCTGCTGAAAACACTTGCTTATATATGTAACAGAAAATGGTTAGAGACAGAAAAATGTATTATGAGTCGATGCATCTTAGCATGAGTCGACTCATGTTAGTTATGAAATATAGGATGAGTCGATACATGTTGTTATGAGTCGATGCAAGCAGATATCATAACATATTACAGAACCAACTATTTTACATGAGTCGACGCATAACACATATGTGTCGATACATACTGATTGAACTTTTAATTTTTGAACATAAAACGTGTTATGAGTCGATGCATGATGTTATATGTCGATGCATAAAAGTTTAAGGTTATATTACAGGGGCATCAATATGTTATGTATCGATGCATGAGGTTATGTATCGATGCATAATAGTTGAAGATAGCATTCCAGGGGCATCAACATGTTATGAGTAGATGCATAGCATAGATGTGTTGACTCATACTGAAGCTGAATCATTTTTATGATTCTTTACTTGAGTATGTGTCGATGCAAAACAGGTTGTGTTGACTCATAACGATGCTTTATGTGTAAAACACATTTTTAACTTATTTTAAACATGTTATACTATATTTTTGTAATGGACACATGTAGATAACATTTATTGATTATTCCACATATATTTGCAATCATTCAAAACCAATTATGAAAGGGTTTCTCACAAACTCACCCTTTTTTATTATGTCAAATATTTGATGATGTGTGATGATATAGTATGGATGAATAAGCTTGCCCCCTGAGTTTGTGCATCTTAATAACTCTTTTCTAACACTAACACCATCTTCTTCTCCCCCTTTGACAACATCAAAAAGAGAATAAGAAATATTTTCAGCAATCTCAACACATAAGAAAATTGAGATGCAATCTCAGCAATCATTATAATCAAAAGAGGAACCAATGTCATTCACGCAGAATGAGTCTTGGCATAATCATGGTAATAACTAAGTAAATAATTGAGTAAACAAGAAGTAATTAGGATGAGAGTAATTAATGCA